ATAAGAAAACAATGAAAAGGGGGCGAATTCATTTGCAAGAAATGGGATCTGAGAGGTAAAGAAGTTAAATGATGATGTGGACGAATACAGAGAAGAAAGATCTGAAGACACTTACCCATACCTAATGGACTTTATTTTCTCCATAAGTTATGGGATATGCCTGGAAGAAGGGGGCATATCAGCAGGACAAGAAGCTTATTTGGGAATGGAAAACTAAAGGAACATGAATAAGGCCTGAGACAAGAAAAAGTCTAAGAAGACATAGGCAAGATGGAATCAATAAATGTGTACTTGTGTCATCACAACTGTGATTCTGCTGCGGCAATACTTGGTATCCCAATTAAAGGGCTTAATCTTCAAAAGACCTATGTTGATAGGGAAAGGCATGTAGCCAAACCTAGAACTTCAGATGATGTGTTTTGAGCATAAAATCATAGCTGGTTTTAAGTCAGATTGAAGAGTAGGTTTAGAAAGAGTAAGAGAGAGAGGTATTACAGGTTGATCAGAAAATGATTTCTTAGTTTAAGTTCTAGACAATATATTACCACAGCAGACTTCTTTAAAAGTGCTTACACATACTTTATAGAGTAAAACCTCTTCCTTCTCTGTGGAATTTGTAGTTTGTGTTGTATAAGGTTTTTGAAAAATAGTTTTCCATGGACTGTTTCAAGTTCTCAATTTGAGACCGAGCGAAGTGTATTAAAGATGTTATTTGAAATGAAGGTCTAAAGGGGAAAACTTTTTCATGTTGTTAATGACTAGAACTCTGGATTCTTACATTCAGAATGATTGCTAAATCAACATAGCTGAATATATGGATTCCTGTGGTTGGAGTTTTTACTGCAAGATTTTGCTTTCTAATGACTTCTGTTGTAAAAAACACTTAACAAAATTTACCATCTTAACCATTTTTAAGCATATAGTAGTGTTACATATGTTGACATCGTTGTGAAGCAGATCCCCAGACATTTTTCATCTTGCAAAACTGTTAATCATTTGTTAAACATAACTCACACTCCCTACCCTCCCCCCAGCCCCTGGTAACCACCATTCTGCTTTTTGTCTCTGTGAATCTAACTCTCCAGGCATCTCTTATAAGTGGAATCATAAAGTATGTTAATCTCTTTTTTGGGACTGGCTTATTTCACTTGGCACAATGTCTTCAGGCTCATCCGTGTTGTAGCATGTGACAGGATTTCCTTCTTAAGGCTGAGTAATATTCCATTGTATGTATATGCCACATTTTGTTTATCCATTTATCTGATGATGGACACTTGAGTTGCCCCCATATTTGCGAACAAGCTGCTATGAATATGGGTGTGCAAATAAATATGTTTTCAAGACCCTACTTTTAGATACATATTACTGGGTCATATGTTCTAGTTTTAATTTTTTGAGGAACCTCTATACTGTTTTCCACAGTGGTTGCAGTATTTTACTAATAATTCATTTAATATAAAATAATTGGAAATGTGAGATGTGCCTGTTTAGTTCCCTCTTTTTTGAAAGATTTACTTTTAATGGTGACATTTCCTTTGGTTGTAGTTTTGATATTGAGAATAATAGTTATTTTTGTGATTAAAAGTAGAGTGAATGTGCAGTAAGGTGTGAATATAAATATGGACATCAGTGTTGAAATGGATATCGTTTTATATTTTGTTTTTTTGCAGATTGGGAAAATGAGGTACGTCAGCGTTCGAGACTTTAAAGGGAAAGTCCTAATTGATATTAGAGAATATTGGATGGATCCAGAAGGTGAAATGAAACCAGGGAGAAAAGGTGAGATTTAATTTCCTGAATTTGGTCCTAACATTGAGACACAATTAAAAATTATCTAAGTTACCTACTTTATTTGAAATTGAAGTAATGTTGGCAGTGCATTGGGAATCTCCTCATTCAGTTGATTACTGTCTTTTGTAGTCTTCTTGGATATAACTGTTAACTGTGAGATAACTGTTAACTGTTAAATAAGTTAACAGTTATATTCTAACTTAAATATAACTGTTAGAATAAAACTTAGAAAAAAATAATACCCTTAATATCACTTCAGTTGTCTTTACTTGAATGTAACTTTACTTGAATGTAACTTTAAAAAGTACATATATGAATTTTGGAGTAGGAACTATCTGGGAAGTGTAAAAATCAAGAATGGAAATCCTGGTTTACAGTGTTTCCTTTCAGATATTCTTTAGGGTGGTATTCTTTAGGTGGGTTTTTGTCTTTTGTTTGCTTCATCCAGTCCCAAGCCTGTCAGCATCATAGAAGCATACTTTATTCATTCACCAAATAGCTAGAGATCATTTGTGTACTAACATAAATTCGCATTTGGTTAGTTAGCTGCTTTAGGTTGGTCTTAACTGATGAAAAAATGCCTCTTCCTTTGCTAATGAAAAAATCCCTGCTTATTTTCTTGTATTCTCCCTACATGTCATTTTGAAAGTACCACTTGTTTTCTTCATGAAGTTTTTCGATTTATTAAACTTAATCTCTCTGTTTTCATACCCTTTAACATTTTCTTGTTCAGGCTACTTCTGGATTGGCCATTCAAGTTCCGTTGTGGCCAATGCCAGATTTCTTGTTCCTGTGAATTTCTACTAAACAATTGGATTAGCTTTAAAGCTCTTCCTAGTTGTCTCAATACATTCTCTTCCTTCCTCTCAATTTCATGGCTTCTTAGCAGTTTTCCGAGAAAGAAATGACTTCTTAATTCTAGTTTAGTTTATTTTTTTATATGGGTCAGGTAGTAGAATATTGGAAATTTAAAGTAAAAGGTTCTTCCTATTCATACTTTCACATCTTAAATAGAAAAGACTTGTCATTAGCTAACATTTTAAGTGTTTACTGATGTGCTGGGTGATAGGCTAAGCTTTTAATTCAGATTAGCTTATTTAATCATTCACAACAATCTTTGAGGTATAAGTACCATTTTACTGGTGAGGAAACAGGCTCGGGGTAATGTAATTGTTTTAAGGTCATACAGTTAATGATAATGAAGCTGGGATTGGAACCTTGACAACATGACTCCAGAATGCATTCTTAGCCAGTGTGTACATTCCAAGAAGTCCTATATGGGTCACGTCCCAGCAGTTTTTCCAAAGTGAAACGAACGCTTTTGGAAGACCTCAGCACAAAGTCATTCACCTTGAGTTCCTGTGGAAATTGTGAGCAAATGTTGGAACCAAATGGATGTACAAAAGGTGTCACATGCCAAATCTTGACCTCACCACTTGGGCCCCTAGTTTGCAAGCATTTGTGAGATAATCTTCAAATCATCATTTGTTCTCACTGGGTATAATATGTATTACGTAGAATGTAGTGTTGAAAGTAAAAGTGAATATAATATTGATCTTGGGTAATCATGATGAATCTATGAGTAACAAACTAAGAAATTTTTGTTCTCAATATTATACCATTGTGCCATTCAAAATGGCAATTTTGATAAAACGATATTTAATTTGGAAATATGAAAATCCTCAAGAAAGCTTAAATAGATTTTCAACTTTCGACTTTTAAAACTTTGTTTTAGGTATTTCTTTAAATCCCGAGCAATGGAGCCAGCTGAAGGAACAGATTTCTGACATTGATGATGCAGTAAGAAAACTGTAAAATCAGAGCCATGTAAAACCTGTACTGTTCTAGTTGTTTTAATCTGTCTTTTTACATTGGCTTTTGTTTTCTAAACGTTGTTTTCCAAGGTATTGTATATTTGGATTGCAAAACATTTGTAAGAATACTTTTTTTTATGTGCATTATTAAAAATGTTCTGAGTGAAGCTAATTGTCAACTTTATTAAGGAGGATTGCTTTGTGCCCACCACCTAGTGTAAAATAAAATCGAGTAATACGATCTTAACTGTCCTGGCCTTCTCTGATCAGAAGAGTCGATACGGTTTAAGGCCAAAAGCTAACAGCTCATAAACATTTCATTTCAACTTGGCTTTTACATTCAAAAGAATTTGTATTGAAATGATAAACTTTTGATTTGTGAAATCCATAGTTGATCTCTTTTCTTCCAACCACTGTCTAGACTCTGATTTTTCTACCCCATTGATAGTTTACTTTTCCGTTTTCATCATTACTTCTTTTAATAACTTGTCATATTTAGTTTTCATTTTACATTTTGCTCTTTTTCTTGAATATATTGTTAATCCGGAAAGTCAATGAAACTGTCAAAATGTTAGTTATCTTAATAAGGTACTTGTAATTAAAATACTATATGAGAACTACAATCACTAATTCTACTGTATTAAATATTAGGAGATATAGTTTGATAAACAACATGGCTTGTATGAAAACTCTGAGCAAGTAAGTGTATGTCATTTCCTGTAGTGTTCTGTGTAGTTGTTATCTTATTGCTTAGTCTGCAAAAAATGACTTAGATGTCTGATTTGCTTTCACTTAAACATGTTCATAGGATGATGTCTCTGGTATCAGATATTGTTAAATTAGACTAGGATTTAATAAAAATTGTGAAAGCTTACTGGCCTAACATTTTATTTTAAAACACTGAGTATGGATTATATATAGCCAGAGATGACACTGAGCTTTACTGTCATAATAGATAATGTGGTCAGTTTTTAGAGGCAAGAGCATTTACTTGTGTTATTTGGCTTTTGCTTCAGTAGCCTTGGTTCTTTTGCAGTTAATCTACTGGACTTAAATGTTAACTAAGTTTTAGCAGTTGTTCTGATACGATTTTCATTGACCCATAATTACGAAGCAGACACAACACAGACAGAGGCACAGATTTCAGGGGCTTTGCAGCAATAAATAGGGTGTGGTGTGCCTTAGGAAAAGAATGTTTGTAAGGGAACTGTAACTGAAATTGCAGAAAGTAAAGACGAGGAAATTCTTTTCAAACTAAACGATACACATGACATTTTCATCACATTGATAGGACACAAGTCTGTATAGACTAGTAAAAAGGAAGGTTTAAAGACGTAAAAAATCTTAACAAATTATTTTTTATTTTTGGTAACTGATCTCAGATGGTTACTGCCATATCAGAGAGTTGCACTATTACATCAAGTTTTATTACTATGCCTGGAACATTTTATAGTAGAATTGTCGAGGACTTGATTTCTAAACCATCTGCCAGACCACCTATAATTATCAGTTTATCTGGCAGCTCTTCTGTTTTAAGTATTTAAAATTTTGTTTAGATTTTTTTAGTGTTTTTTAGCAGTAACTCTTATAGGTGCATAACTGGGGAAGTAAATTCTCTTTTGATATTTTAGTCTTCATCAAATAATAGGTACTAAAGTGTTCAAAATAACATTTTAGACAAATCATACTTCATTAATAGCTTTCCCCGTTTTTTGAAACGTGTCTTATTAATTGGGAGATCTGCAAAGTATTCCTTATCTATATAGAAAGAGTAGGTAGTTAGAAAACAGAACTTTGATTTTGGTGTAGATGGAGAGAGGATAATGGTTAGATTTCCTAGGTTTATATGAATTTAAGGAGTGTATGCATTCTGAAACAATCTAACATGGATGGAGATGGTGCTGAAACCTGTAACCTAGGCATTTTCTAGATGTTTATCTTATGTCATTAAACCTTCGTAAAATGAACATTTCTCTGGCAGAATTTGATAAGTTGACTGCTAAATTCATTTAAATATATTACTGGTTATGCAATATATAAAAACTATTAATCTTTTTTGAGTGTAGGAAAGGATGAGAACTGGGTTAAAATAAGAGTCAAATTAACTTGTACTGAAAAGAAAATATAGGATACTTTTGTTTTCTGTTTAAACTTTATCTTCTTAAGATTTCTTCAGGAAGAAAGTTTGGCATTGTGGGGCAGTCGTTTCTTACCTTGTAATGCCAAAATGAATTTAATTAATGCCAGTACATTAATTGAATGTACTCTGTAGCGGGGCTTTTCTAATGGGATTTTATTCTTTGTCTTTTAAAGTACAAGCAGCATTAGACCAATATCCAATGCTCTTGGCATTTTATTAAAAGAACAACCACTAAAAAATAAAAACTATAATTTGATTATTTTGTTTAGCTTCATAAAATAAACTTCTTTTAAAGAATATTCCTACCTCATTAGCTAGTCAAGATCCTGTGATGATCAACCTATTCTACATAACGTTTTTGGGAAAAAAAATGACTTAATGAAAATAAAAAATATGTACATCTTGGTCTTGGCTATTGAGGGGAAAAGAAAACTGAGAATTAAGTATTTCTGACAGAAGTATGTAAAAGTTTGAAATAGTAAGAAAATGCTGGCTGATATTTAGGCATCTGTCCTGATATTCTTTGCTATTCACTTTTTATGGAAATTAATTCAGTGAAACATCCAAGTGGTTTTTCTGTGTTTTTTTAAAGTGGTGTTTTTCCAGATAAACTCTAGGGGTAAACATTCACATAGTCACAAATGTAATTCTGTAATTGTGGAATACCTGTATGCTTTGTTTGGTACATCTTCCATGGAGATGTCAATGAACATAATACTCCATCTGTGAATATTTTAAATATTGAAATAAAAATGAGAACTGTGCCCTATGTGTCATCCCAGTTTCACAAACCTGAAGATGAGTGGCTAAGTTATCCGTTGAATGAGTTTTATTAACAAATAGAATGCCTCTCTGTGTGAATGCTTTTGGAATGTGAATTAGCCTCAGCATGTTCATCTTCTGAGGACCTCGACCAGGCGGTCTACCTGATCCAGACGGAGAAGTACAGATACTGAGGTGTCTGCAGCCTCTTTTGCTTACCCTGTGAGTGTTTTGCATCTAATTATTCGTTGGTATACTTAACAGTATAATGGACTCCGTATGACTCTTATTTTATTTCACTTAATCAGCTGTCAGTTTGCTTGTTAGTAAAAATTGACTCAAAAATCCAGTCAAGAAAAAGAAAAAAATAGTACTTGGAATTTATACAATTAATCACTGACTTTACAGTTCTGGAGTATGGCTCAAAGATGATAGAAAAGCATGAAACATTAAAAAACAATGCATGGAATCATTTACTCAATAACAGTTCATCTAAGACTTAACGTTCATCTGAGTACAAGCTAGTGTTACACAGGATGTGTTCCCCCACCCGCTTGTGTAAGTCCGTTGCAGAGTTCCAAGCTCCCCAGACATGGTTCTACAGCCGTTCTAGGCCTAGGTCAACAGTGACCTCCCGTTTCTGAAGAAAATGAAATTCCCCTGTCTTCTAATTTCACTCTTAGGCACTCGATAATTTTAAATAGTTTTATCTTTCTGCTGAATACCTTACTTTAGCTTGGAAATGCTTTATACTGCTTCCTTTCTCTAACTGCCAGAAAAAAATCATTTGTCCTAAATTTCAACAGTAGGATACTATACAATAATTTCTCTTGATAAGAATTATGTACAAAGTGCTTTTCCTACTGTCCAAATAAGAACTTAGCTAAAATCGTGTGTGTAGTAGCTCATGTATCTTTAAAGTGTTGTGAAGTTCCACTTTGGCCATCTTCCCAATTAAGCCCGTCTTCTAATAGCTCCCACTCTGGCTTTATTTTCCAAATTAGTAGTTGCAAGAATGGTACAAAAAACTCTGCTAGACCCCATTCAGGTGTTGCCAGTTCCAGTAATGTTTGTAGCAAAAGCTTCCAGCTCGTTTGACTGTTATGTCTCTAAAATCTGACATAGTTCCTCAGTTTTTCCTCGACTTTCACAACCTTGACATTTCTGAAGTTTTGGTAATTCGTAGGTCACTGGTGATGTTGACAAGGGCGGGGAAGGCAGAGGCTGGTTGAATGAGGAGTGGACACACTCGACTTGTCAGCATTGTGAGGGATAAAGAAATGGGGTGGTGGCTGCGGAAGGATGTTGGATCCAAGGGCAGGGTGTGTGACTGCAACTGCAACATCTAGGTGACTGTTGATCTGGCCGCATTCATCACGTGTTTAAACTGACCTGCAGTTTCAGTCACTTCCTGCTTTGTTTTCTGGTGACCTCTTCCTAAGTGCCACCTGAACAGTGAGGTACAGTTGGAGGGCAAGACTGATAGACCAGATGGCTTTGGCACTTGATCATTATGGCAAGTGTGACTACAAAGACTTTGCAAATCAGAGTAAGAGAAGGAAAAAGTAAAAGTTACGAACATAAAAAGACGCGTAAACTAGAGAGTCTCCATTTTAGTTTTGAAGGGCGTCGTCTTTCCTCTGAGGTCACGGAGTGGTTTTGGGACAAGCTCAGGGCTGGTTGTGAAGGCTGCACAATTGTAGCACCAATTAAGTACTTAGTCTTGCTAGATCTCTAAAGACGCTAGTTGGGAAAGGAGATGGCATTTGGGCTGAGAACTTGGAACCTCCAAATTTCCCTGGACCTGCATTGCCTGCAGAGCAGGCCATGCCACCCTGTGCTGCCTCCAGCTCCATAACCAGAATTAGATCTCAACATGCCCCTTTTAGCGCTGCAGGGCCTGCTCTGGGAGGAGTGCCTGTAAACAAAGGGAGCGACTTAAAGACTTCTCTAGTCTGTTGGAAGAGCCCAGCGAGTGTGTGTGGGAGAGCTCCTAAGCATATTGGGTGGCGTAATAGATGGGAACGGCCCCTCCCACTCATATCTAGAAATGTCTTGGAGAATGTTCTTAGAGAATGTTTGCATGCTAGTCTAGTGACCTTGGACTTGACCCCTGCCCACCACATAATTTGAAAAATTTCAAACCTATAGAAAAGTTGAATGAATAGCAAAAGGAACACCTTTATATCCTTAACCTATTTCACAACTTTGTCTTATTGAACTGTTTGAAAGTAAATTACAGCTACATATACACATATACGTAGATACACACATATATAAACATAGTATGTACATAACATTTTTAAATGAGCTATTCGAAAATAGACATTTAATTGCTAAGTACTTCAGTATGCATTAGGAATAAAGACGTTAAATAACTTTTTAAAATGAAAACCGTATTTTACATAATGAAAAAATTAGAAGAGACATTTTACATATTACAATCTAATAGACAATAGCTGGATTCTCCTATCTGTTTCTGCAGATGATCTTTTGTGATACGTTGCTTGGGTTGAAGTATGTGAAGAAAATACAGCTTCACAGAAATACATTGTTGGAAAAGGGAGGAGTGTTTTAATAGCCTCTTTCCACCATTGGCAACAAATGCTGTCAGTTGTTTTCCTTGACAGGCTTAGTTTGTTCATTTTTGGGAAATGTCTGTCAAGTCCATACATCTTAATAATCATAGTTTGTCAATCATTTTTGAAAGGAAAAATGGCGTTCCATGGAAGAGGAAAATAGTTCACAATCCAAACAATTGTGCTTATGCTTTTCCTTGTGTCAGCCACTGAATTTAATATGCATTTCCCAAGAATAAAGATGTTCTACCTAGCCTCACTATTCTCACAAGTTAGAAAAATTTAGTTATTTAATATTCAGTTTATATTTAAATTTCCCCAGTAGTTCCCCCAAATGTTCTTTGTTTCTTCTCGGATACAGTATCTGATCAAAGTTCCTGCCTTATTAGTCTCTTTTAATCTAGAACCTTAATCTTTTTTTTTAAAAGAGTTCAAGTGTCTTGTTTATCCCACATTCTGGATTTGTTAATTTTCTCATGGCTCGATTCGGGTTAATGTCGCTCACAAGAATACTGCATAGCTGAGGTTCTGTACTTGTTACATCATACCATAAGGCACATCAAGCCAGGTTGCTTCACTCTGATGACTAAGTTAAGGTGGTGATTGCCAGATCACTCCATTTTAAGAACACCTTCCTCCACTATTTTAATTCTTTGCAAAGCATGTAAGTTTTGGGGACCTAGTGCAGAAGAGAGAAATGATTCCGAGGAATTGGTAGTAGAGATTGCCCTTTGGCCATCTTGGACTTCTCAGGCCACTGAACCAATAGGCAGAGTTTTTGTATGGACAGAGTCAATCGATCTTTGACGGTCTGGCAGAAACGGGGCTGTGGAGGAGGATGTTTGGAAACCAGGGGATTTATTGGTGATCTTTTATATATACTCCTTCGACCAGTCGTCTTGGTGAGTGAAAAACTGCAACAACACACAAAGAAAAGGAGCGTTTGGATTCCCCATGTGGTAAAGAACCCTGGTCCAGCCAAGATGCTGGAAGAGGTCCGGGGGCATGTGGAATGGGCAGTGGGAAAAGGCGCTGCAGTGGCCGACACAGGCCTCACAGAAGTCAGGAGTGTCACAACGACGTTTTAGGTAACTTGTTTCTTGTCTCCCTCCGTTTTCTTTGAATTAAGTTATATAGATAACACCAATGTTGGCTAAATGTTTAGGTTTAGGTGGGAGTAAGAGACAGTTGATACCAGCTTGCCACGATATGGTGGGTGCCTACTCTATGTTGCGGGCTCAATCCTTCTGCCAGATGAAGGACCAGAGAGTGTGCTGAAGGCAAAAAGGCTTGTGTGGTGCTGTGCATACTGTCTCTCCCACCAGTCCGTCGTACGTTGTTTGTCCTGGGAGGCTGACGTGTGTGGATTATATTAAGGGGCTGTGCTCTCTAGTCTCTGGCTGGGCTTGGTGCACAGTGAGGAGAGAGTGAGGTGGAGGGAAGGGCTCGCATCAGGCCGGCTGTGTTTCTCACCTACACTCCTCGTAAGGTGACCTCTGTGTTTTCTCCTTTTGGGTTCCAGTAACTGCTCCTTCCTCCCACTTTTGGCTCTGTTATTACCGGCTGAGGGGTGGAGCGTGGTTACCCTTGGGTTTTCCTAAGCCTTTGCCCACACCTTTGTAAATAATCTATTTTAATAAACATACACTTTCAATTAATTTGAATGTGTCTTTTCAAATTAAGAATCCGATAACAGGCAAATAGGATTAGCGGAGAGAACTGTTACTGAGATGAGGAATCTCTGTTACCCAGTCCTGAAGATTAAAGTCAAAGGAAGATGAAGTGGGTGTGTCTTTAAACTTGTCTTTGGCCTTGCAAAAAACTGCTTAGCTATTTAGTGTGTCCTCTTTGCGCTATGTGGCCTCTAAAAACAGTCATGTTAATGTAGGGAGATTGTTTTTCTGTTGGCTGTGGATCTCATGCAGAGCTCCTTGCAGGGCATCTGGCCTCTTGAGTCTACTGTATGGACTGATTTCAGCCAGTTATTTTCCAGAATTTTGTTCTGCCATTTCACTTCCCTGCAGATCTGGGAGGTGTGGGCATTGAAATGAACTTACAGACTTCCTTTGTAGTTTGGCCTGGATGTAGTTGGCTCCTGTCATGGGACAAAGGGATCTCAGAGTCTTCTTGATGGCAGTAGTGCTAACAGCTTTGCTGTATAGATATGCTTCTATTTATGTGGAGGCCTATCAACAATTAGCAAAACATATCTTCATTTGAATGAGTCAGCTTCTATATTCATAGATGTCCCACACAAGGGAGACTAAATTGCTTTCTTCGTGGGCTTGACAAATAGGAAAGGTATGACAATTCTGTTGAACTACTCTGGAAAAGTTTGTAGTGTAGGAAGATCCTTATTCTCCATTGAAGGTCGTGCAAACAAGGTCTGGGAGAAGATCCTTGGACACCACCTAGTGGCCATC